GCCTCAAACCACATGACCGGTAAGTCAAATTTATTTTAGGCATACAATCTTCTCGCTGGGAGAGATAAGGTGAGACTAGCTGATGGCTCTTTCTCCACCATAGCCGGCCAAGGAACCATATCTCTCCCACTCGGCCTTACCCTTTCTAATGTACTACATGTTCCTAAATTACCTATAAATCTACTTTCTATTAGTAATATTACTCACTCCTTGAACTGCTCAGTTACTTTCTATTCGTCTTCATGTGTGTTTCAGGATTTGGCCTCGGGGAAGACGATTGGTAGAGGAAGCATGGTGGATGGCCTCTATGTGTTAGAGAATAAAGCTGGTCTTGTGGCTACAGAGTCTTTGAATTCGTCCAGTGAGAGTCAAGCCTATTTATGGCATAGTCGTCCTGGCCATCTTTCTTTTGAGTCGTTAAAAGTTATGTTTCCAAAGTTGTTTGAGTCTTTGTTAGTGAGTCAGTTGCAGTGTTAGACATGTCAGTTGAGTAAACATTGTAGAAGCTCTTTTCCTTTTGAAATAAAAGATCTGAATTTCCGTTTCATATTGTTTATTATGATGTTTGGGGCCTTGTTACCCTACCTACTGAGGCTGGATATAAGTACTTCATTACCTTGACCGATGATTACTCTAGATACACTTGGGTTTACCCTATGTGATCTAGAGAGGAAGTGCCTAAAATTGTGAAGACTTTCAATGCCTGGTGTTCACTCAGTTCCAAACTGAAATCCATATTTTCCAGTCGGACAATGCAAATGAATACTTCCATAGTGATCTCACAGAATTCTTTGCTTCGAGTGGATCACTTCAACGAAGCTCTTGTGCTAGGGCACCTCAACAAAACGGTGTTGCTGAAATAAAAAACCGTCATCTTCTTGAAGTAGCTCATGGCTTGTTAATCCATATGAATGTTCCGAAGCGCTTTTGGATGGATGTTGTTCTGTGTGCTACATACATCGTCAACCGTATGCCCTCTCGGTTACTAGAGTATAAGGCCCCCCACATCAGCTTTTGTTTCCTACAACTCTGTTGTTCCCCATTCCAATGCGTGTTTTTGGGTGTCGTTGCTTTGTTCATAACTTGTCACCTACTTGGGGTAAACTTGATCCTCGTGCTATTCCTTGGGTCTTCCTTGGTTACCCTCTATCTCAAAAGGGGTACCATTCTATGATCCCGTCTCTCGTAAGTACTATGTCTCAATAGATGTGTCCTTCTTTGAGAATCAACATTTCTTCTCGGTTTCTCCTCAGGGGGAGACTAGGGTTGAGGAGAGAAACAGGCTCAGACTCAACTACCTCCTCTATCTGACCCTCCTCCATTCCATGTCTTTCTTTGCCGCCACAAAAGCCAGCAGAGTTCAAGAGCCGTGGAACCTGACACTATGCAACCAACATCATCGGCTTCACCGGATGTTGATCCTTCCCATCAGCCAGGTACACTTGCTTCTATTGATATGCCTGCTCCTCTCAATGTTGATTCCCCTGTCATTAATGATCTTGATGTTCCTATTGCTAAGAGAAAGGGTGTTAGATCTTGTACCACTAACCATCCTATCTCTCACTTTGTGTCCTATGATCATATTTCATCTTCATATCGTGCATTCCTCTCCTCTGTTGATAGTATCTCCGTTCCTAAGAATGTGGCAGAAGCTTTGTCCAAACCTGAATGGACAGATGCAATGAAGGAGGAGATTGATGCATTACACAAAAATGACACTTGGGAGTTGGTGGATCTTCCTGAAGGGAAGGAACCAGTGGGGTGCAAGTGGGTGTTCATAGTGAAACACAAGGCTGATGGAACTGTTGAAAGGTATAAGGCCAGACTGGTGGCAAAAGGTTTTACATAAGTATGTGGAGTGGACTATGCAGAGACTTTTGCCCCAGTAGCCAAGATGAACTCTATCAGAATTCTCCTTTCACTAGCGGCAAATCTTGACTGGGAACTTCACCAATTGGACATAAAAAATGCTTTCTTGAATGGTGACTTAGAAGAGGAAGTGTACATGACCCAACCTCCAGGTTTTTGTGCTAAAGGCAGTGAATAAAAAGTGTGCAAGCTAAAAAAATCTTAATATGGGCTGAAACAATCTCCTCGAGCCTGGTTTAGTAAGTTCCACTCAGTAGTTCAATAGCTGGGGTTCAAACAATGCCAGTCAGATCACACACTATTTGTAAAGAAAGGTGAAGGGAAAATTGCAGCTCTAATTGTGTATGTGGATGACATAGTGATCATAGGAGATTGGGAGGCTGAAATACAGAGACTAAAAAAGTTCTTAGCCACTCAATTTGAGGTGAAAGATCTAGGTCCCTTACATTATATCCTTGGAATTGAAGTTGCCCGCTCTCACAAGGGCATCTTTATTTCCCAACGGAAATATGTACTAGATCTACTAGAAGATACAAGCAATATGGGGGTGAGAGCAATTGACTCACCAATTGAACCTAACCATCATCTAGGAGACAGTCAGGGAGAGTTCTTGAAAGATGTGAAGAAGTTTCCGAGACTTGTAGTTAGACTCTTGTATTTGTTTATGACCAGGCCTGATATTGCTTATGCAGTGGGTGTCCTTAGTCAGTTCATGCACAATCCTAAGACAACTCACCTTGAAGCTGTAGAGAGGATCCTCAGATACCTCAAGAAGTTTCCTGGAGCTGGTTTGGTGTTCCAGAAACATGGACATTTAAAGGTGGAGGTATATACTGATGCTGATTGGGCAGGGGCAGTTGATGACCGAAAGTCTACAAGTGGATATTGTGCCTTTGTAGGGGGAAACCTAGTCACATGGAGAAGTAAGAAGGAAAGTGTGGTGGCTAGGTTTAGTGCTGAAGCAGAATACAAAGCTATGTCTCATGGAGTTGCTGAAATCATGTGGATAAGAAATCTGTTAGAAGAACTGGGTTTTATAGTTACCAATCCTATGTCACTCTATTGCGACAATAAGGCTGCTATCAACATTGCAGCTAATCCAGTCCTCTATGATAGGACGAAACACATGGAAGTGGACAAGCATTTATTAAAGAGAAACTTGTAAGTGGAGAAGTGCGCACCCCATATGTCAACTCAGAAGAACAACTTGCAGACATCTTCACCAAAGGCCTTCATCATGTGCGGCATAATGATTTGTGTGACAAGTTGGGCATGATTGACATCTATGCTCCAATTTGAGGTGGTGTTGAAAGTGTTAAAATAATTGATTTTATGTTTGTTAGGGTCTGTTTGGCTGATTAAAGCCTTTTTTATTTTAATCTATTATTGTACTATCACTTAGTAGGGGCACAAGGGTCATTTCCCTTATTTTTTTTGCCCTATATATTATAATGAAGTTGGCGCCGCCAGCACTGTTCCATTGTCTCAACACTTCTTCCTTGTTCTCTTATCTTCTCTCCTCTTCTCTTCTCTTTGTTGTAACCTTCAACCGGATTTACTGTCAAGAAGCTATTTCCATCATTAATCACAATAATATCAATTTTAGAATTATTTTTGTTTAATATGAGTATATAATATTAAAACATGCTTAATTTTTTGTAAATTTTATAATGTTTTCTATATTTTTATTTTTGTTGTTTAATTTATGACATCATTTGACAATGAGGGAAATGCGGTTTTGTTTGATTTTTAGAACATTGGTTTTTTATTAGTTTTTTTTTTTATCTCATGGTGAAATCAATTAGTCAACCATTTGGCCCATTAAATTAGTATTTTGGATCCATTTATCATCAAAATATCAAATTACTTGCTTGCAAAAAACATTAGCTCGATCAACAGTATGGGACCTAACCATTTGAACCATTGAACAATTTAACCTAATTATTGGGGTCACAAGTTAGACATTAATTCTCATTTTTTCTTGATTTTTGTATTCCATCATTGATAAACATATTTTTTGTTTATTACATTTATACTCGTAATATGACAAATACATTAATAATTTTTATTTCTATTTTTTACAATTTATTGCATTTTTATCTATTTTTTAATTTTAATTATTAAATTATGACATCATGGTATACCCATCTGACCTAGATGGTTGAACCATTCTCCCACTGCTTGCATGAATAGAAAAACTGGTTTACTCTTGGGTCAATTTTATTGTATTCCATTTTCATTATTAGTAAAAACAAATCTTATTTTTCACAGTAAATTTTGTTTAATGTGATGAATATATAATATCAGAGATGTACTCAAATGTTTTCTAGAAAACTTCTATACTTCATTTTGTATTTTTGTGTTTCTATCTTTTTAAATACTTATTATTTAATTATGACATCATGGGTTGACCTATTTGGTCTAAAAGGTTGGACTATTGACTGACCATCTAGATAGGAAACAAGTTTATTTTTGAATATTCTATTTCGTTTACATCATTAATAAAAGAAATTATTATTTATCATACTTATTTTTGTTTAATATGACATATATATTAGAGATGTGTATATATATTTTTTTATTTTTGTATTTTATATATTTTAAAATTTTTACTATTTAATTATGTTATAATGGGTTGACCTATTTGACTCAAATGGTTGAACTGATTACCCACCACTCGAAAAAAAAAAGGTTTTATTTGTGGGTTGTTTTAAAAATATAGGGTTTTATACCATTGAAATTATTGTTATGGATTTTAAATTAGTGGAATTTATTAATGAGGAACAAAGGTAACTTAAACATAGGATTCAATGGATTTAAATTAGTGGAATTTACAGTTTCTACCCTGAAAATAGAGATGGACTACTACAGTATCTGTAACCTGTGTTATCTGATATTGTTCATTCAGTATAATGGTGGAATGCCATTAATTGAAGTAATGATTGAGGGAACATAGAAACAAGATCGATTTCTTCATATAAAGATTAATATCCTTCTTTTGTTCCCTTACATATTGTGTTTGTTTATGGTGTTGGTGCGAGAAAGTCAACAACGATTAAAAGAACATAATTTTAAGGTTCCACTATTCTACCAAATAATGTATGGCTTATTATGTATTTCACAATCAACAGGATGGTATGGATTATCGATCTGAAGAGTCGAGGCGGATACAGTGCACAAAGTGTGGCAATTCACATATATGGATATGTACCAATAGAACCAAGTCCAAGGCAAGGTGGTGTCAGGTTAGACCAGTTTTGAGTGTATTCAAAATTGCTGTTTATATTTCTTTAGACTTAGAACTTCATTGTTAGGATGTGTATATGATTTAAGGATGATATGGCATCAGGACTGCTGTCAATATCATCTAGCTAAGGACGGAGATGGATGGGTTGAATATGGTTGCTCAATAGCCTCTGCAAGGCCTCAGAAGGTAAGTTTTCTTTCAATTAGGTATTTCATGTGGTTAGAGTCTCCAGAACTGAACTGTGATTTGGACTGGGATGCTGAATAAGGTAATGCTCATGGAAAAATGATAATTGCTAATCTGGGAACCAAGCCTTTCTTTTGCTTTCTGCACCTTAGATCATGGCTCTTGGATTACATCTTTAACACTATTTTTCCCTCTGTTCAGTCAAGGCATTTTTTAAAATTTGTGGATCAGACATAAGGTATGTTGCACTATTTTGAAAGTTATATATACTTGCTTCTCTTGTCTTCCAGGTGGAAATACCTCGTGCCTTTGTATGTGCCGAGAGCAAGATCTTTGATGTGTCTGAATGGGCCATATGTCAGGTTAGTGTTTCAACTCTCCTTCCTAGGATGAGAACATGCATATTATGATGCATTGGAATTTATTCTACTCCCACCCTACGAACATTGACAAAAGCGGGTAAATTATCAACTTAAAATTCTCTTCTCAAATGATGCCCCTTCCGGTAATTCAGACAAACAATGAGCTGAGAGTAAAATTACTTGCCATAAACTGAACCATGCAAAGTAAAATCTCAATCTCTTGACAATGTATATATTTGCTTGATGGAAATCATTTTACGTTTTTTCTTATCAACTCTAGTGTTTTTCTTGTCCTTTTTTTCTCTTTATTTTGGTGGATTAATTGCAAAAACTTGCTTCACTGTTGTGTACTTGGCTACTTCATAGACATCAGAGTTTTGGCTGTGAACTGGATCGTAAGGTTTTTGAAATATAGGGCCATCACCCATTGTTGGTCCTAGCTATCTTGGGTTGTGAGGGGTGAACTGGATAATGTACCCAATCTTTGGCTTTTTCTTTTTTTTTTTACATGAAGTGGCTGCTCTCAAATTTGAACCCACATTCTCACGGTTGTCAGACCTAGATTCTTCCATTGCACCAAGCAATTCGTGTGTCCATGAGTATGCTATTTAAGATGATTATTTATCAGCACAGTTCACTGCACGATGAAATTTACGAAAGAACAAAAGACTAAATGACCAAAAATTAAAAAAAAAAGTTATTTGTAATGTTGGTGAACTTTTTTACAGCCATTTACTGATAATTATTATTATGGTAACTATTTTTCACTATTAATAATCTATTATGAGAAATTTTATGATTTTATTGACTAGATATATTTATGAAACTAATATTTTTCTTTTGGTCGGGGGGGGGGGCATTATTAACAACCAAAAAAAATAGATTACAAAATATGGAGCATTTCATGTATTTCATGGTCGTTTGATGTCTGACACTTAAACGGTTTTCCTCATCTGTTGGAAAATTTGCATGAACTGCTATCTTTAGTTTCGCCTTACATTTTTTAGTTGTTTGATGCAGGGAATGACTTGTAGGCCCAATACACATCGACCAAGCTTCCATGTAAATATGGTTGGTTTAGAGAAGGCTGCACAGAGGTCAAATCCAGGTAGATTCCCATGGGATTTGGATGCTCAGATGATGGAGGAAGAGGATGAAGAGTTCGAGTTGTGGCTTCAGCATGCCTTGGCCTCTGGCCTATTCTCAGAGACTTCCAAGCACAGAAAAAGCTGGAGCCCTTTTAAATTAAATACAAAGAAAGGGAAGAAGCAATGGCGGAGATCACCATGAAAGGTGTCAGAAAAGATCTGAGTTCCTAAATCTGATTGGCTGAATGGGCCTTCTATCTCGTCTTTCGGAAGGGAAGATGGGTGCTTAGTTTTGGAAGGATAGGATTGGGATTTTGGGGGACAAAGTCAATGAATAATGGGATCCTATACGTACAAATATATTCAGGTGTTTGTTGTAGCATCATTTCTGTTGCAAAGTTAAATCATGAAGAGTACTCAGACGGAGCTCTGGGCGTCTGGCATGTTGTAATTCTTCCACGATAAAAATTTGAGAGGGGAACAGTAATGAAATCGAGCTCGTCCTTGTAAATTTGATCCAGCTAACATCATTTGTATCACTTTTCCTTGTAAAAAACAGTTTCATGTGCAATATGATTACAAATGACTGAAATGAGAGCCGTTCACATCCTCCCCCTCCCTCTCTCTCTCTCTCTCGTTAAAATGGGAAGTGATGCTAATAAACTTGTATTGGCATTGAATCTTGAATGATTAGAAACTTAACAAAAATCATTTGTTAATTCTTCTGAAGGGATTGCATTTGCATCCAACCAAGTAAATACTAGTTTGTGTTTAATCAACAATCCAGATACTAGAGCACTATCTAATATTCGACAACGTTCTTAAGAGGGTATTGTACTATCGCTGAAAAAGTATGCCAATGAACAAAGAACATGTTTCCATGTCTGTAAATCCGAGGATCATTCTATCTTTTCCCCACCACTGTTTTGAGAACCGTAACAGACTCATGGTTGGACCGTTCAAACCGGGAACCAGTCATGGTTCTGGGTCTGGTTATGTCTTGAACTGTTATTTGCTAAAACACATTGAAAAAGTAAATAAAAAACTGTTGATCCAGATGGTTGAATTTAGTTTCATTGTCGTTTATTTATTAAATAAATATTTTGTTAGGCGTATTCTTTGAAAACTGAGAAAATTGGTTGAAAAACATTTTTTAAGCTATGTTTGGTTGTAGTGTAATTTTATTTGTACTATAATAAATGCATAGGATTTTAAATGAAAAAAATGTAAATTCTACTTTAATTTTGTTTTGGATTTTACTTTATTCTTCTTCATGTCTTATTTTACTTCATTTGAGATAAAAATTGAAACAAAAATAAATCAGAATTTGCATCAAAATCATTTGCACTACCAATTGTATCCTTAACCTTTTTTTTTAACAACTAGACTACATCAAGTGCTAAGTTGAATTGTGAAAAAATGCCAAAAATGTTGATAGAGGGGTTTCCCACCAACAAAATAGCTTTTCATACAATTCAAGAAAATTGATAACCAAATTAACTAAACAATATTGTTTATTTGAAACCTCATATGGAAAAAATGACTTTGTGGTGCTGAATTGGCATAATTTTTATAAATGGCAATATCATCCTATTCTATAACTGGAAAAAACGGCCAAACAAAAAAAATACAACAATCCTGATTGTCATAATAAATGCAACAGAAATAATCCAATGACCATTGATACTGAAGAAAATCCTTTAAACGAAGAATTCGCTGTCCACAACAAGGAACAAACAACACAAACTCTTTTTTCCTCCACTGTATCTTAAATTACTGTTTGTTGGACATGGAGGGCCTTCCACGAAACTGAGTGAAGTAAAGGAAAGCTGCAGCAGTCAACAGCGACACTCCCAGGACAGCACACACTACGCTGGCAATCAATAACGCGTTCCTCATGTGCTCATGGCTTTTCCCTTCTGCCCGCAACCTCATCGGAGCTCCAACGCCGGCGACCCTCCACCATGGGTCGGTCGCATTTCTTGCCTCCGGCTTCTCCACAACGTCGTCGGAATAAGATGATCCGAAGAAAGACTTCATCTCCGGCGTCTCCGTTTCCGTTGGGGTTGTCTGGTATGTCAGCCCGTGGCCGGACGGCCGGATCTCTCGACATTCCGTCAGCCCCATGACCCATATCCAAATCATGGGTAGAAGGATGGCCAGGAGGACGCCATTTCCCCGATTGAGTAGCATCTCTTCCACCTTTCTCCTTTTCCGAGCCCCGAAATCAAGCTTGCCGAGACAGTGAGCTCAATTGCCTCTCCCTTTCTTTTCTAGGAATTACAGGGGAAGGAAAGGAGAGAACGGCCTATCTGCGTCTCTCTCTCTCTCTCTCTCTCTGTTAAATCAGAAAAAGTGAAGAGGCCTGTCTCGTGAACAGGCTGTTGTCCCGCCGCTGTATTCTTTGTCTTGCGGTGAATACTTAATAATATTTTCTAATAATTATTTTAGGGTAAACTGAAGTTTTGAAAATGACAACTTTCTTAAACTATTTTAGTTATTTCTAACAATTATAGCCATCGTTAAATCATAATGGAGATACATGAGTATTTTTGCCCTTAAGTTAAAAAGGGCACCAAATTGAAATTACTATTTCTAACAATACATGARTATTTTTGCCCTTGGGATTTTGCCACGTGCCTAGCGAGAACTTTCTCTTAAGGGTTCTCACGTTGTAGGTACATGCTGATCACCACAATTGCAATAGCGCAGAAGGTGCTAAATTGATGCCACAGAGACACATGTGACAAGTCCATGACTCGGCACGCATCTGCAATGAGCTCAAAGCCTGAAACGAGCTTGTGATGAGCTTAGGGTCACCACTGGCCTGTAAAAGACCCAAAGCTAATGCACCGAAAAGGAATCCGAAGTCGCCAAAGATTTGCGATGAGCACAAGGCCATCGTGAGCTTGCGATGAGCTCACAACCATCATAGGTACAGGAGACGTAAGATTAGTAATTACATCATTCGTGCCATATCAGTATAGGAGACCCGCAAAAGAAAGTAGCATATGATGTATTATGAGAATCCTCAGACGAAAGGAAAACTCGTCCTTGAGAGAACTCATAAGACACGTGGCGAACCCTTCACGGTATCCCCCTGGCAACTGATATCGAATCCAAGATTCCCTTTCCAAATGGGAAGCAAACACTTTTGGCTCTTTCCTTTTAGGACCTTGGGATCATACCTATAAAAGGAGGACTAACTCATAACGAAACACCACATTTTGTCAATTTGAGCCTTTACCCTACCCTTTGCCCACAACCTTCCTTCGTCTTTCAAGGAGACCCCCGTACGTAGCCTTACCACCATATTCACATTAGAATCTCTAGTTCTTCCTTGATCACGAAGGGGGCCTGTAGAATTAACCTTTCCATTGTTCCAAACGAACAACTCATTGAACATTGGCAACATTAACTCGGAGGCCGGAGACCAGATTGGCCAAGAATTAGCCAAGCAAGTTGACATCGAAATCCTCTCTAGCAAGGTGTACGATTTCAAGATTCGTTTCGACTGCATAGAGCAAATGTAGGCCAAGATGAGAAACACCTTGCAGTTACTTCTTAAAACATTGTTTGTAACCAAGCATTCCCCATTCACCCCTATCGGCCCTTCCGCACCCATCCCTGCTAACCACCCTGCAAACCTAAACCTCAGCAACCAACCCTGTGCCTACACAAGATATGGTACAAAGAACCCACTTCTCTATTGTTGAACAACCCCGTGTGACCCCACAAAACATCACAACAATAGAGGCACCCATCAACCACAATGAACTGAAAGAGTACATCCAGGGCTTGATGGAGGAAAGCCAGAACAAGGCCCAATTTGCGCTCATTCTCCAAAAGCCCTACTCTGACCACAACATCTTATATAAGCCATACCCCTCCGGCTATGTCCCACCGCAGTAGTGGCCGCAATATGATGGACAGAAGGGAAGCCCATAGGAACACACCAATAAGTTCGAGGACGCATTGGGATTGTTTGCCTTGGATGGGGACCTGAAAGTTTGAGAGTTTTCTAAATCCCTGACCGGACCTGCACATACATGGTCCGTCAACCTGACCGCAGGTAGCATAGACTCGTGGGTAGAGTTAGTGAAAGGATTCTTGTCCAAATGGTTCACCCTAGAGCGAAGATTGATGATGGTGGACTTGCACAACATAGAACAGCACGCAAGGGAGGACCTCCTGGCTTAAGTCATGAGGTTTCAGAAGCTGACCCACTCTATCTTTGATGAGCATGCTACCAAAAAGAGCTTCGTCAAACAATGCATACAAGGAATGCACCCGACCTACAAGATAGGCATCGAGACATTGAAGTTGAGATGTTTAGTCAACTATCTTGACAGCATCACAATATGGAAGGAATGAAGCGTATGCCATCGGCTGAAGGCCTAGGAATGCCAGGGGGCCTAACCAAGGGCCCTATTACCATGGTGGTAATCAAAATCAATGGAATAGCCCGCTGCCCCTGCCCCCTCCTCCCTTTGCCTGCAGATTGCAGCAAGGATGAGGTTATTATGATAACGAACAAATTGGTGGAGGATCGTGTGATCAACTTGCCACCACCACCACCAGGAGTTGACCCAGAGAAAGAGAGGCATGGGGGAAGGTGGTGCAACTACCATCAGTTGCCAAATCACGATCTAATGGACTGCTTCACACTTCAGCGGTTGTTTGCACAGAAGGTAAAGTTGGATGACTTTATCAAAAGAAAGCCAGCTCAGGTAGAGACTAACCCCCTCCCCTCACACACCCAAGGAGGCAGTATTAATGTGGTAGGAACACCAGGAGGCGACTGTCCAGATATGCTGATCTAACGGTTTGAACAGAGTCCAGACATGTAGCAACAATTCTTTAGTAAGAAGGGAGCCAACGTTGCAACAAGGTGACTCGCCATTAGGGCGCTAGCATAAACATTCAGAAGGCCACTCGAACCCCATCGAGTGGACAAGTCCCATATGCTGGCCATAGACCCCACCACAACCGACCCCTATATATCATAACCAAAATAGAGGGTTACGAGATGCGGTGATCAATGATTGATCAGGGAAGTTCTATGAACCTGATCTCCATCCACACCTTCAAGCTGATGAGCATACAGAAAGAGACCGTTAAAGGGTTGCCTATGGGTAAGAGATTTTAACAGTAATGCATCTGTCATGGAGGGGTCCATTGAGCTATCGGTCACCATTGGTTTGTTCACCATTAACTAGGAGTTCCAAGTGTAGGTACATAGTGCCCACTCAAACCCTCAAAGTACAGAAGACACTAAACAGGTACCACATGAGTGCTTGCGATCAGGCCATGACTCATCGGTTACCTGCGATAAACTTATAACTCATCGAACGACTGTGATGGACATATTACTCATCGCATGTCCGCGACAAACCTGCACTTGACGCAAGTCAGAGTAAACACTGGCTAATGTGAACTCGCGATGAAGTCTAGACGTATGCAGTTCAGTGATGAAGTTCGGATACACACAGTTCTGTGATGAACACGAGACCACTACAGAACTATGGGTTATTACAAACTAGAGTTAAGTATTGGTTAGACAGGAAACTTCAGGATCACGTGCATGATAATATTCCATGTAGGTTTAGTAAAACATGCCTGTTGGGTGATGACGTCACCCATGCCACGTCAGTTAAGTAGGTCATGAAAGGAAGTAGCACATGTGGATTATGAGAATCCTCAGATGAAAGGAAAGTTAGTCCTTGAGAATATCTCAAAAGATACGTGGTGAAACCCTAGCAATGCCACTTAATGGCCGACAACGAATCTAATATTCCCTTTCCTAATGGGATAGCACCTTCTTTTCAGGATCTCGGGATCCCTCCTTATAAATGAGAATCCATCACCTGAAAATCAATCGAAACAAACCCGTTTAAACAACGTAAACAAACTCGGAGCGAAAACTTGACATAATCACATCAACCACTAGGAACCAAGGGTATTACAACCTTAAAGTTACTATTTTAACTTACTCGAACCCATCATACCTAGATAACCTAAATCCACTCACTAAGACATATAAGTGCCTAACAGAACCTATAGGAACGGATTCAAGCTAATCCCCACTGGCCACATAAACGTTCTTGTGCCAAACAAATTCACCTAGACTTCTAAAAACCAAAAAAGAAGTTTTCGTATTTCGAAGCCAAAATTATTCATACACTTCCAATTACTCAATCAGAAGATTCTTTGAAAACCTTAAGGGATAATACATTATTAGTTGCAAAATATAAAACGTTATTATTTGAAAAATAAACTGAAACGAACCTAGCATACCTAGATAAATGAGGAAATCAACTTAGCTCCTTTAGAAAATAAAACTAGGACTAGTCAAAGGAAAATAAAACAAATAAACCTAGATCAATCCAAACAATCTAAAACAATTTGAAGCAAAAACTTTACACAATCAATTTAACCTACAAGAAGTCAAGATTAGAGCTTCTTACAACTTTAATCTCACAAATCTAACTTAAAAAAAAAACCCATCATAACTTATATCACTGGATAATCTCACTATTCTAAGTTAAACAAACCCAACATATTTAGAAAAACTAGGAAATCAACTCAACATCATCAAAAAATGAAACTAGACCTACTCAAATCAAATCAAATCAAAGCCAATAAACAAGGAACAATCCTGATGTAGCGCGATCCGGTCACTCCTAGCTGGCACTCACGTGGCTCCTGGAAGATACCCGGCGGGAACACTCCGATGGTTAAGTTAGTACTCGGTAGGAGAAGCGAAGAGAAGACGAAGGCTAAGAGTGTAGATAGCGCGTTACCACTATACTCGAGAGATTAGAAGTCTCAAGAAGAAGTTTCTCTTCTGCCCTGAGGGCTTTTATAGGGGCATCCATGTCAGGTCGGGCATAACCGCCACTGGGCTCCTGCCACAGCCGTTACCTGCTAGGGCTGCGCAGGTGGCCGTTGTGGTGTACTCGTCTGGGTGAGTGACACGTCTCCAAAGTGACAGGCATGCCTCTGCCTGCTGAGAGACGTGGATGCAGACTGTCGAAAGGACAGGGACTGTGCCGTCAGTAAGGGACGTAGCGTAGTCGGATCGGTACGACCTGTCAGATAGAAGCTTCCGGAGGAGTGCTCATGCGGCTCATTCACGAGCTACTTTGCAGTGAGCTCGGAATACTTCAGGATTACCCTTAATAGAATTGGTCCTTGGGATGACTTGTCTGCTTGGGAGCTCGGGCAAGCTAGTTCCCCCAGCTCGCGAGCAAAAGTTGCCTCGGAGTATCCCTTCAAAGGTAGCTTGGGGAACCCGGAGCTCGCGTTGTGGCGAGCTCCTCCCTTTGTGAGCTATAATGTAGCGAACTGCTTCATGGGCCCGTCACTTGGTCGCACTAAGGCTACAAT